CAGCTAGAATATGAAAATACACAGCCGGAAAAAATCTGCCACTTCCTTACAGAGCCACTCCTCCCACACACACAAACGCGCACATGATCAATGAGGGCACGAGATAAGTTTGTGCACAGATGGAGCTGGATGGCCATCCAGTTATTTTAGCTGGGCCAGCTAAAATGATTGGTCGTTCTTTTTACAGTACTACGGCTTCCACAGATTTTTGTTATGTATTTATTGTCAAAGCAGATATTCATTGCTATCGGGATGTTAAGAGCATTCCATGGAATATAACAAAAAGTGTTTCTGAAATAAATTACATACCCCACCTTTTAAGAAGCTTACAGAATAATATATATGATCAAGATGAAGAAAAAAGAAAGGCAAACTAGCCAGCTAAGGAGAGGGAATTAATGAAGGTAAAGCCAGCTGGTGAGATAGCCATTGCTAGCTTTAGCTGAAGCTAAAACGAAATGTGCTTTTTACTTACTGTTATCTGGAAAACTAAAATATCAGTTTTGATCTTGATGATTCAGCAATTTATTTTACATAAACCCATTAATGGAGCTTTATCTATATAAAACAATGAAGGAAGTAAACCCCAGGTAAAGGTACTAAACTAAACATAATGTTAGCTAGCTAATGTTAGTTTAGCATTCCAGGCAAGCTGAAATAGATAGCAAAACACTTATATTTAATTCCTATCACTCAAAATGATATTTATTTGATGAATCAAAGTAATTACCATGGGTAATATTGAAGCTGTATTAACACATTTAAAAAACACTGCATTTTTCTCTGATGATTACGACTGAGTGCAGTTTTCACATTTGGTCTTGTTGTCTTGTATACAGATATTTCCTAGATGTATCATAATTTTTACATTTTTATACTGTATTTTTAAGGCAATAATTAAACAATTCAAATCGCGCTGCTCACACATGTATTCTGCTACCTAATAATGACCCTTCACATACTGTAGGCCTGTACTTAGACATACAAACACACAGCAGCTTCCTGTCTTTTAAAAGTGGGGGTGTAGGGTGTCACTGTCCCAGTTGTGTCAGAGAGGACAGGACGTGGACTGGGGAACGGAGTGTGAGCTTTTACAAGAGGCCTGGATAATACACGGTCCAGTTCAGCGTCAAACGCACAGTCAAAGCCACACTCTGTTTAACGTTTGAGACAAAACCATGCAAAAAGTGATGGCTTGACCTTATTAAAATACATAAAGTAAAGCTTGTGGCTGTGTTTAAGTGTGTTCTCCTTGGCCGTAAAAGGACCACACACACACGTTTTTGACACTTGCTTATCTTCTGTGCAGACATGCCCCACGTACCGAGAGGCATTCAAGCATAGCACACATTACACACACTCGCTCTGCAACAACCTGACAGCTCATGTGGGAATGCTGAAGCTTCTCTGTGTATCTTTTCCTGTCACCTGTCTGAAGCTTTGTTTATGTTCGCAGGAATTCAAGAGGTCGCTCCGACACCAGTGTTTCAACCTCAGTACAGCATAGGTGAGCAGATCTACAGGCTGAAATTACATAATCCTCTGGTTGTATTTGGTGTTGTATTCTGATTGTCAATTTTTTATTATTATTATTTTAGTCATGCTTTGGGTTATTTTACATTTATGCTTTTATCTCCTATTTTCATTTTTTTGTGAATCACCTTGGAACAACTACTTTAAAAGGTGCTAGAATAAATGTTTCACCTTCCACTGTCATAATAACAAATGTATTCAATGTCCAATCTTTCTTTTTAACACATTTGATGTCACCTCATGTACAGCATACACATTTTTCATACATCAAAAACAAATCCCCCCCGCTCTAACTCTTTATGCAGCAGCTTACCACTCCCTCCTAGCGGCGGCTTGAGGAATGTCCCACCTGCTGCAGTGGGGGTCATCTGTTAGTCACAGGATACTGTGATGACAAATAGAAGCAGCCATATTGTAATTAGGGGGAAAAGACATGTGCTGATATGCTTGCTATGAAATGATACCCTTTCATTTGATGCATTCTCCCTCTCTCCCCCCCTCTCTGTTGTAGCGGAGGAGTGTGTTTCATACTGCCAGCCTTCCCAGGTCAAAGTCAGGATGAACTTGGAGACTTATTGTCTGAAGGACTTCGGTTGGTGTCATGTTTTTTTATTTGTTAACGTGTCAAAAATGAACAATAATGTACTCACACTGTTTTTCCTTCTTCACTTTGCTTCCTTTTTTTAACCCACTGTAAATCGCATGAGTGAAACCACATTTGGGTCACAACCCACCACGATAATATTAAAAATAAAAGACTAAAAACTTAAGATTAAAAAGGAAAAATTATACTTTTTTTTAAGTATAAATTGCATTTCTGTCTTTCTCAGTGCTGAAGGTGCAGGTGCGAGGGATGGAGCGTTCAGGTCCCTGGTGGCAGTTCTCCATCTCGGTCCAAACCGTCTTCCGGGCAGGGTCCAAATCCCGCATCCGAAAGGGCCAGCAGTCCCTCTGGGTCCCCGACCGAGACCTGGGCTGCGGCTGCCCCTCCCTCCACGTGGGCCGGACCTTCCTGCTGATCGGTGCGGAGGAGGGGGAGCGGGGCTTGGGCCCGGAGGAGAGTCGCCTGGTGGCGGACCGCTCCACCCTGGCCCTCCAGTGGCGGGAACACTGGAGCCCCAAACTCAGGGGCTTCCGGGGGCAGGACAAGAGGGGCCGCTGCCCGCCGAAATCCCCCCACGAGCACCACCATCACAGGGAACGAACAAACCCCCAGTCTGGGTACATCCCCCCTCACCTGCTGACTGAGAAACAAAGCGAGGACACACACGTGGACACACACATAGAGGACACTCAAACATCAGTGGTGCCACACACACAGTCCCGCACACAGGTGAAACCCACAGAGGAGACACCATCGCCTACCCCCGCTCTGGTTTGCTCCACTCAAGGTCCTGTTCACAGAGAGACATAAAAACAAGAAATGCAAGGCTTCAGAGTTTTATATTTTTACAGAAAGTTTCAGGAGGCATGACTTTTGCTTCTTCAGCCTGGACAAACTCCCCTTCACACACACACACACACACACACACACACACACACACACACACACACACACACACACACACACACAGCTATAATATGACGTTCAAATTAATATCTAAAGCTGTGAAGAAACACACGTTTCCTCATGTACAGTGGCTATCTGTATGTGGGTTTTATTGGAGGGTATTTGCCAACTTTCAACCAAATCGCTCACTGATGATCAAAATACACACAACTTGTGCCATGTGAAATATATATTGTAAGAATGTTCATATTTTATAAAAAAATTATTATTGAAAATTAAAGACGGACACATTTTTCTGACTGTAATAGAGGGCTGTTTTCGTCTAATAAAGATTTTTTTTTTAAAGATTGTTTTAATCATATTTATGTATCGTGAAGCACAAACACAAATAAGAGATAACTGAATAAATAAATAAAAGTGACAAATGCAGTCAATGCTGATTCATTATTCATTATATTCATTTAGACTGTGATGTTTTCTTTTTAAAATAAAATAATAAATGAAGAAAAGTCATATATATATATAATTCACACTATACATTATTTGAGAAATGTGACACTATCTACAATCTGGCCCTAATTGGACAGCTGACAAAGAGACCAAACAAACTTCAGCCTTATTTTTTGTTACCATGTAGGAATCCTCAGATAGGCCTTGAGGAGCCCAGATATGAATCTAAAAAGCATCAGACCAACCTGTCGTCATGACTTCTGTTGCCATTTGGGAGATATGGCGTCATAGCCCAGGGGGAATGGTGGTGGTGGTGTTGAGGGTATATTAAGACAGATGTTGTTTTGGTAGCAGCGGTGTCAGCGATTGGCTGTTCCACCGTGTTGAAGCTGTGAATGAAAATACAAAGTGAAAAATAGACTCACTGACTGATGAACGCTTAGCACTGAACACGCAGTACAATCACTGCCTGTGTTTACTTTTTATACCCATGAGGTCCAAACATCTTCACCATGTTCTTTCAGCAGCTTCTTGGGGCCAGCATAGGCCTACACCCCTACACCAAGGGAGTCCCTAGAAACTATACAGAAAAACAATTGTTTTATGAATATTATTGTGATTATGTAATTTTGTTTCCTCAGGGCCCCCAAAATAAGTTAAAGCTAGGGAAATCCTCCAATATTAACACATTTAGTTTGACCTGTGGTCCATTTAGCTTTACAACGTTTGTTAGCGTCTTTAAGCTAATTGTTTTGGTTCTCTCAGATAGACTAATCACTTTACTTTATATTAATCTGCTTTATGGGAAAAAATATGGCTAATCAAAACATTTGATTATCATAAACTTGCTGCGAAAATCCCAAATCCAAGGAAAATATCTTATTTTTTTCAAGGGAAAGTTATGCTAACTTCCACATACGCACTTATATACAAACTTGGTGTGTTGGAGGGAGTAATGGGGGGTAGGGACTGACAGAGTGTGTGTGTCAGTACATGCACAATCATGTCTTGGAGGCCCTTGGAGTGTGTGTTTGTGTGTGTGAGTGTGTACGAAGCACCTGCTGCGTTGCTGCAGGAAGCACCTGTCAGCGGTCGTCTCCTCAGCCTCTGTCGACATGTCGAGGGTTTGATCCTGAAACTCCCCAAACACACACACTTACACAGACACTAACAGACAACTTAAGCTAGCGGCGTGTTCTGCTGCGAAGCGCAATACACACTTTTCCAAGACACTGTGGACAAAGAAGCCAGGCTTACTGTGTTGGGGGCCATATTGAAAAGGGGGATCTTCTTCTTCTCTTATGAGTGTGTGGTATTATGTTTACAACCTGCTGAGGGTAGGTTTTACGAGAGGTGACTCCTCCCGCACCGCAGCCAGAGCCAAAGTTCAACTAGCCCTCTCGCAAACAAACAGTTGTATTTTTACCCTTTCATTTCCTTTTTTTTACTCACACACACACACAGACTGCTAAATTCACTTCCCTCTCAAAACTCTTTCTTCATACACAATTCAAAGTTTCTCATCCGAGATCTCAAGTCCAAGTTCAGCCGGTTTCACCGTCACACCGTTTTTCACGAGACTCACACACACGCACACACACATAGGGCTTCTGTTAACCTGAGAGGCAGAGGGTCAATCCCTGTGATCCGCAGCCTGCATGCCTTCCATACAGACACGCCGCCGACACAGCAATCCGACTCCCAGCTAGATTAGTGCTAATCAAGCATGGCACAGCTCCGGGCAGCGACACAATCACACACACATACGGTATACATGCTGCAGTACAAACATGTGCACACCGGCGGTTCGACATTTTGCACAAATTATTGCTGTTTTTGCATCTACAAACAGTTTAAATGTAGATAATATACATCCCAAACAATCATTCAATGGGAACTCTGATCAGCTGTTGTGTACAAACTGTGAAAAGACTGTAACCATAGGAAACATTTCACTGAGAATTTCAAGATTATGAAAAAAACGTACTTACAGTCAGCTCCATCTGAGGTGGGCCAGTATGATATACTGTACACATTTTATTTATAGAGCGCTTTTCAAGATACTCAAAGACACTTTGCAGGGTAAATATTAATAGAAATATAATTTAAAGGACAAACTTAACATATATAAAACTCAATATGGTATATATAGGCTTTACTTGTGCTTTATCTAAGCTAAATTCCAAACCATTTGGACAAGTATAGCCATGATAAACACAGGTCAAAAGTGTAAGTAAAATAGATGCTGAAAAGTGTCATTATTCAGGATAAAATTAAACATTGTTGAAGGCCTGTGAGTTTCTTTAATGGCATTGAAAAGTTCACAAATGTCTTGTTAGCTGAGGAAAGAGATTAAAAAAAGGCACATGGTCGGCTGAAAAACAATCCCAGTTTCTAAAAAAGAATAATTTTGGGTTCACCTGATCTTAAACCTAAAGAAATCTAGGTTTAATGTTAGTCTGTTAGGTCTATCTCCAAAATATGTGTATACAAATGACTCTACCACCATATGTTTCAAAGAATTTCCACATAAATAACATGGCTGTATAATCTCTATAGACGAGACAGTCAGTGTGTGTGACTGTATGGAACAAGTGCTGTCCAGAAACTGACGTCTCCTGTAAAAATGCTCCCTGCAGCCCCAGGTGTGGACCAGTCGTCTGGTCCCGTCGTTGGTCACAAACGTCTGGGACGTCTCAGGCCTTCCTGGGCTTTGTAGTCTGTAGCCTGAACCTAATTTTTTTTCTTTGTAGTCGCCGGGCGGAACTTTATTTTGGCAGCCAGCGTGTTAGAGGGGACAGGTGATTTATGACTCTGAGGGCAGCAAGGGTGAGCCACCATTTTCTTTCGGTTTGTTCTGGATGTTGTTATGGCGTCCAGGCAGAGTCTATTAGTGCTGGAGAGCCGGAGTCGGGCTGCAGGATTAGTGATCAAAAGAGCGAGGGGGGGTAAAAGGTTGAGGGGTAACACAAGCCCGGCCTGCCCAGGTGGTGCGGTTGAAAAGAGACGCCCCATCTGTGGTGTGGATGGGTCGAACATGGGCCGTGAACATGTGTGTGTTGGCTTCCAGCATGGTGTGTGTGTGTGTGTGTGTGTGAGTGACTTTTATGGGCCGTGCACTTCGTGGTGAACTCCGTCTAGTTGGATTTGAACCGTAACCGATTGGTTTTCAGGCTCGGGGAGGTGACCCCTGACCCTTTTTTACAACATCTGCATCCCTGACTTTTCCTCCACCACATTTTAACTTCACGTTACTCCCCGTGCCACCTAGTCAATCTGCCGTATAATGAAAGTTATACGTTACTGTGTTACCACAGTAACACAGAAGACATATTGGGATTCATTACCACGTTTTTTTTACCTAATATGAACTTATTTTTAACTATTTATTTTATCCTTGCCAATTCTACATTTGACTGCTAAAATCCTCAAAATAAAGGTAAGAAAATCGACTTTATTTTTTCCAATTGTTTTGTTTTTGTAGTTTTTTTTTAAGTATGTGGTATTTAGAAATCATATTTATTCAATGAACTTTTATAGAAAATAATAACGCTTAAAATGTACATTATTGGACTTAGATCTTCAAAATGTATCTGACATAGGATTTTTGTATAATTAAATGTGATTGGGTTTAAATCAGTAAAACAGAAATTGAAAGCCTCTTACTAGCTGGTTTGTGAGAATGAATGCAGCATATAAAAGAAGTGTATATATACATATCTGTGACTAATGATACTGCACTAAATCAAAATGATTTAATTACATTTAAAATGGTCACCCTTCGGGTTTAAATCACTGACAAAATGGACACAGTGCATATTTCTATCAATAAATAATTGTATTGTGTTAAGAGTTTGCTGATATTTCTTCACACGCAGTATTTGACACTGGTGGAGGTCTCACATGTGGGTGGTCTCATCTTCAGAGTCTGTGTCATGTGGCAGAGAGGTCTGGGCTTCAGGGAGGTTGTTGCACTGCAGGTAGCAGAAAACCACTTGGACCTGAAACACACACACACACACACACACACACACACACACACACACACACACACACACACACACACACAGGTTTTATAAATTATTCTTCAACATGCACGCGGACACTTTTCCACGGGACTTGTGAAATAAAGAAATGTATTTTTCCCAAACCCCTCTTTATCTAAATAAACAATTGTTTGAAATTCAATTCTATTTTTGAGTAAAGTCAATTATTTTACACATTCATTATAATGTATTTTCGAAGAGCTATTTTTTTTTACCTTTAAGGCCTTTAATTAGTTATTTTTCATATAGTTGTTTTATTTTAAGGCAAAATCCTAGTTAAACAGAATAAATATGTTCTATTTTATATCTGAAGGGTTTCCTTTTAATAGGTTATTGTTTGTCAATTATTCATCTAGATGTTCTAGTCTAGCTGTAGCAACCTTTAAATACTGTAGTCATGTCCTTTATGAATCTATTCTAATAGTTTTAGCGATTGGTTGATATTTTATAGGTGACTCCAGTATTTCCGGTTAATATAATTACATTTTGACTACTTTTTGGTCAACAAAAGACTATTCTGCATTTCTTTATGATTACTCTATTCTGTCGAGAAGCTTCAAAAATGGCATTCAAATCGTCATGTTACAAATTAAACATTACAACTAACTGATGAAATAAATATAAAATAACTCATTTGTGAACTATTTTTGACAGTATTTTTTCTAATAAAAACAGAAAACCACAAAATCCACAAATGCAATTGTTTAGAAAACAAAGCCCATATGTTGCTAGAGAATGTGTTGAGCTGTGTTTAGGCCCAACATCAATCATCTCCTCTATTCAGCAGTCCTTCTCTCTGCTACATTCCCACCTGCAGCACCACCTCCACAGAGATATCCATGGAGCAGCCGATGTGTCCCAGTTCCGCCACAGGGAGGCGTAAGAGGCTGGGACCGAATATCGTAGCCAGGTTTATCAGAGTCATCTTGTTGGTGTCTTGCCTCTCAGAGACTCTGGAGAGAAAATGTTAGAAATAATTAAAGATATATTCAAGTCAGGAGTCTTTTGATGCTGTGTGATAGTTGTCAGACCTCTGGAGGTGTTGCAGGACGAACAGGAAGGTGTTGCGGTTGGGGGCGGGACAGGAGTGCAGCACGGAGAACAAGGAGACCAGCCGGGAGTCTACGTCCTGGATCTCTAAAGGACAGAGAAATCTGTGAAGTTCAGAGCACTTCAAGTTTAGTTTACTTGGTTTAAACAACAACGGGGTTAGAGTTACTCTATGAAATAATAGCCGAATAATTTAAAGCCGTTGCAGTCAACATTTACAAGCTACAAATTGTAGCCTTCAACAAAAAACATGGATATTGCATTTTAATTTCTACCAATTCTTTTGTTGAGGGATTGCATTTCAGGCGATTGAATTACAGTGTTTACTAATCTATATGAAAATAAACATTTAAGAATCCCGTTTATGTGATGAATTATCTGTCTATGAATAACAGCAAAAGACACTCTTTAACACATCCACTGAAGAATACAGGCTTAAAGGGGCAACCTGCAATATGTAATCGCCTCAAACTTCTTGAAGAATGAACCGGTTTAAATAGAGACATGTTTTTGTCACGTTTCCTACCCAGCGACCTGGCCAGGCTCTGAAACTTGTCGGCGGGGATGAGGGGCTCCGGCAGCTCTCTGAAGTACAGTTTGAGGACACCAGAGACCACGTTCACTTCCGCCGTCCTCAGCCTGGTTACAGCGTCACGCAGATCTGAGCATGCCAGACACATGATGATTGTTATCAATGTTGTTGCAACTTCTCAGGTCACACACTTCCTTCTTTGTGACCTCAAGAGAAAACGTCTTGTCAGAGTGCTAAGAAACAGCAGCTGGTTATAGGCAGCACGGGTCAGAATGAGTTGTTTTTACAGGAGGATTTGACATGTGTAGCAAACATGAGATATTTTAACATTTCCACATGATTGCCATTTGGTAAAGACTGCTGTAACAACTATAAATATGCTCATGGTCCCCAGAGGTTGATCCTTAAATGAATTTGTGTGATCCCCTGACTTTTCCTGCAGAGCCAATTGAAGGTGTTTGGTTAACAGTGGAAATATCTAGATTACTATTGAATGGATGCAGTGACATTTTGTGCATGGTCCCCAGAGGATAAACTCTCCAAATTATCCAGAGATCATTAATCCGTCATCAACATCACTAAATTATCATTTCATTACATTTGAGATATAAAAAAAATCTCACCAAACTTCTGACATTCAAACCAGCATCAGTTGTGATTTCTAATAACTAAATAAATGTTAGCATTTAACCGGCTAAACTCACATGGAAAACAATAAACCCACTAAACGTTAGCATATTAGCATACTGGTGTGAGTGAGTCAGAGCTGCTAGCATGGTCTTCAAATCTGCAGGAAACTGAGGTCTGTGTGAACCAGTGCCAGGTTTACAAAAACAGAAGGGATGTCTGAATGACAACTGAAACTGAAACTTGAATGACTCTTACTGATGTTGAAGACATTCTTCAGCGAGTTGATGTCACTGGAGGATCCGGAAATCCTGTAGATCCCCACCTCCGCCAGGCCTCTCCTCTCCACCTCCTCGGCGCAGCAGCGCACCACGTGGGGCACCATCACTCCTTCCTGTCTGCCAGGCAATAGAAGGTATAAGGACGAAAATCCCACTTCAGATATTTCATATGTAAGCGTCGCTTCATTTCAGATTGCTCTCTTGCCACACTTCTGCTTCTCTTCAGCCCACTCTACCACACAACAAACCACTCACTTCTTCAAAGTACCTGAGCCTTTGAAACAACCACATTAGCCCAGACAGGTTCAGCAACAACCCATTTTGTATTTCAAGGACTTACTGAGTAACAATTTCAATGGGGACGCAGAAGACAGGATGTAGAGGAGCTGTAGCGCTGGGGGGTTCAAGAGGGTGGGGGGAGAACTTCAGCGAGACGATCACATCCACCTGGCCAAGGTGTAGCGTCTGTCTCCTCCATCGCTCATTCAGGGTTTTAGATTTCAACTGAAAGTCCACATCAAAAATGAAGAAAAACAACATTTAGTTATATCATTAGAGCATTGATGGTTTTTTCATGCACTTTTGGGCAGAAGAACAAGGACATATGTGTGAAATAAATGACAACAATTGTCTATAAATACATCCCGAAGTTATGGAGCAACATTCAGAGTCTTGATTTTGCTCGATGTAAGAGGAATATTTACTCTCTGTTTTGGTCTCCACCACCTGTAAGGGAAATATCTTGCTCTTATAAACGCTCTTAAGAATTACCTAGCTAGTACCAACTTTAACTTTTACATTTGGTGCTGAGAGGTCAGTTTATCTGAGTCTTTTGTTGCTGATAAAAGTTGGAAACACTGATGGAATTGGTGAGAGTCTACTAGAACAGTAAAGATGTTGGCAGTAAAACCAAAACAAAGAGCTGAAAGACACCAAAACATCCAAACGGAAACTGTCTGGGGGTAATTCTTTTTGGCTTTGTCACCACGCATGACTACTTTCATATAGCATCATCCGTCATATTATCTACACTGAACAAAAATATAAACGCAACACTTTTGTTTTTGCTCCCATTTTTCATGAGATGAACTCAAAGATCTAAAACATTTTCTATATACACAAAATAACCATTTCTATCAAATATTGTTCACAAATCTGAAAAAATCTGTGATAGTGAGCACTTCTCCTTTGCCGAGATAATCCATCCCACCTCACAGGTGTGGCATATCAAGATGCTGATTAGACAGCATGATTATTGCACAGGTGTGCCTTAGGCTGGCCACAATAAAAGGCCACTCTGAAACGTGCAGTTTTGCTTTATTGGGGGGGTCTGGGGGGGTCCGAAAACCCTAGGGTTAAACCCTAACCCTAACATGTCACCCATCTCCTTCGCATAGAGTTGATCAGGTTGCTGATTGTGGCCTGTGGAATGTTGGTCCACTCCTCTTCAATGGCTGTGCGAAGTTGCTGGATATTGGCAGGAACTGGAACACGCTGTCGTATACGCCGATCCAGAGCATCCCAAACATGCTCAATGGGTGACATGTTAGGGTTAGGGTTTAACTGTGCAATAATCATGCTGTCTAATCAGCATCTTGATATGCCACACCTGTGAGGTGGGATGGATTATCTCGGCAAAGGAGAAGTGCTCACTATCACAGATTTTTCAGATTTGTGAACAATATTTGAGAGAAATGGTTATTTTGTGTATATAGAAAATGTTTTAGATCTTTGAGTTCATCTCATGAAAAATGGGAGCAAAAACAAAAGTGTTGCATTTATATTTTTGTTCAGTGTATATAAAACATTGATGAGATTATATAGCTTTTGGTGCACTTCTGAGCTGTGTGTTAAATGCCTGATTTCAAGAGGATATTTGTCCTTATAATAAAGCCAAAGCCCAGTGTACGTCATACCTTTACAGAAGTTTTTCCCAAGACAGTATCATTCTTTCCATCAGTCTGACTCACACAGAGCAGCCTCAGCTCCTGAGCCGCGTCCACCTGGAACTCCAGCTCCTGTGTGACAGACAGAACGTGGTGTGAACACTACAGCCACAACAGGAGCATTCATGTCTTATTTTAAAGCCTTTTGATCCTGGTTACCAGTTGGATTTGGTGTAAATTTTACTGCCACTGATCATGTTCAAAGCGTAGCACGGTCTGACCGTACTGCGACTTTTAAATCCTCTCGAAGACATCATGTCAGATGCTGTCTAGACATGAAGAAGCCTTATCCCACCCTGGTCTGGCGGTCGAATCATCTGCATTTCATATCAGTTCTTTTTTCATGTGAATAAACATTGTACTTTGAACTCACCTGGTCCCAATGTGGGTTGAGGCTGTGGATTGATGAGTGTGTCGTGGCTTGTTTATCATAGAACTCATATCCATCCACTTCCACACACACGTATACAGCTAAAAGGAAAAGAGAACCGATAACTAAGTGACCTGTGATTCACCTTTTGACATAATCTCTTCAACTGGGGGCACATTTATATATTTATCATTGTAATAAAAGTTCCCATACAGGCTGGTTGCTGCAGGCCACAGGCAGAGTGCACGGCCACACTCAGAGTCCCACACAGAGACATCTCGTCCTCTACTGCTGAGAGACAAAGACATAAATAACCAGAAGCTCTTTGGATTTAATCGTCTCGACGAGAAAGACATACAGAAAGTGTTGAAAAGGTTTGGAAGCCAGCACTCAAAGATCAAAAGCGTCGAGCTCACAGTCGGCGTATTGCGTTTCAGATACAGGATGTGAGTCTGAGGAGAGGGGACG